TTGATCTGATGAATGGTTATGAGTTTCTGCGTGTTTCTTTCATCATCTGCATTACACAAAGGCTTTAGAACGAGGTTTTGTTTGACATGAGGTTTATTACCGGTATTGGGTTATTTTGAGCAGCTACTGTGATAAAACATTTTGCTACGAGTATGCGAGTCGTGTGGTATGTCGGGTGATTACATCTTGGATTGTGGTTATGTCTTGATACAACTTGTTCAGACTTATATAGTATGTATATGCGAAGTTCAGATCTTGTAGGAAATTCCGAATGTTAGAAAAGAAATTTGATTCCAAGGTTTATGGGCTAAGGTTGAATTGATGATCTTCAATTATGTGGTGTTTTCGGGCCTATATGTAATAGGGTGACGTGGGATCACCCCCAGGTATGTGCATGGTAAGGTTAAACGGCGGTTTGATGACTTAGGAACCAGTCTTGCCACGTTCAAGGATGAACGTATGTTTAAGTGGGGGAGAATGTAACGACCCGACCGGTTATTTTGAGCGTTTGCACTTCGCTTAGTAGTTTGGGCACGAGTAGCTCCGTATGATGTATTAGGACTTGTGTGCAAAATTTGAGTTCATTCCGAGTTGATTTGATGTGTTTCGGCGCGAGTTTTTGGAAGTCGGAAGTTCATTAAGTTTGATTTGAGGTGCGTTTCGTCGTTTCGATGTTGTTATACGTGACTTGAGGCCTCAAGTAGGTCCGTATTATATTATGAGACTTGTCGGTATGTTCATACGTGGTCCCGAGGGGCTTAGCTGAGTTTCGGATAGGTTTGGGCTGTGTTGCGCTCGTTTTTCTTATGTTTCAACGTTGTTTCTTCAAGCATAAATGGTACTAAATTAAGCAAATGAGCTCCAATTTCTGTTTGATTGAAGCATTAGATCCGTATCGTAATTTCGGAGGCATAGAAAAAATAATCGTCGAATTTGGACACCATATGAGGATTTTATGGTCAGTTTACTAAGAATTGGGTTGCCAGATTTTTCAGATTAATTAAGAAATTGCCACTGACTTCGTACTTAAAAATTTGCACTATTTCTAAATATTGAAACCAACGTATCTCCTTCATTATAAGGTAAAATGGAGTGATTCAAAAGCCTATCTTGACTGAAAATTCACAAGGAATCCATTGGAGGCATAAAAAGTAAGTTTTGGGATCGTTTGGCATGCAAAACGAGGCCGAACAACTGGACAAAATTACTTAATATGGAAGGTTTGTTCATTTGGCCATATTTTGAGTTGGGGAGCTTGGATTTGGACAATTTTTGGAGGCGATTATCACCATATGAATTGGAGTAAGTGTTTTATACTGGATTTTTGTTATATTTCATGAATCCATCTTCGTTTTTGGCATTTGATTGATGATTTCAGAGTGAAATTTGGGGGTTTTGTCTAAAATTTCATAACGTGAACTTTTTGAGTTTTAAACACCGATTTGGAGTCGGATTTGAGTGAAACTAGTATGTTTGGACTCGTAATTGAATGGGTTATCGGATTTTGTAAATTTTGTTGGGTTCCGAGGTGCGGGCCAGGGTTGGGTTTTTGGCCGATTTTGGCTTTTAATTAAAGATTCAACCTTTTTCGATTGGGATTGGTTCCTTTAGGATTGTTTAATGTATTTGAGTTGTCTTTTGGCTTGTTTTTAGCCGTTCGGAGGTTGCTACGCGTGAGATGGCACTCTTGGAGCATCACTTGGCTTGTTTGGCGTTCAAGAATTGGCTTGTTTGAGATAAGTAACTCTTCTAAATTTAGTGCTGAGGGTATGAAACCCCGAATTACGTGTTATGTGATTGATGTTAAGGTGACGCACATGCTAGGTGACGGGCGTGTGGGCGTGCACCTTGGGAATTATGACTTCGTTGTTTCTAGGGCACTGAATAGTGGCCTTATTTTGTTGATATCTGTATTTTCACCATGTGATAAAGAAATTGAGCTGTGATCCATGTTACCATGTCTAGGCTACGTGCTTATCCTGTTGGGACCCACTGAGGTCATTTATGCTATTGAGTTATTTGCTTTCATTGCTTTATATACTCAGTCATACGCATTCATATGCATATCATATCTCAGTCTCTATTGTTATTTACTGATACCTCATATCATCATTTTTGGGCTAGTTTTATGACATTGTGAGCCCGAGAGGGAGAGAGAGAGAATGGAGAGATTGATGACTGAGTGAGGCCGAGGGCCTGATTTGAGATATTGTTACTATGGCACGTGAGTTGTCCGTGCAGCACGTGAGTTGTCCGTGTGGATCCTGATATTGATACTATGGCACGTGAGTTGCTCGTGCAGCATGTGAGTTGTCCGTGTGGATCTTGATATGATATTATAGCACGTGAGTTGTCCGTGCAGATTATAGCTCTTGGGCTGAAGGAGCCCCTCCAGAGTCTGCACACCCCCAGTGAGCGCAGTCGACTATGTATATGTATGTGGATCGGATTTCATGCCGCAACGAGTATTGTACAGTGCTGAGTGACTGGGTGTGCTGAGTATTGAGTACGGTAAGAGATAATGTGAGACAGTGAAGTTGAGTACTCTGAGAGTGTGAGTACATGATTCATCTCTGAGATACATGGCATTGACATGCACACATGACATACATGCATATAGATGCATTTTTCCTCATGTTGTACGGTATCACGTTATTCATGACTTTCCACACATATTGATATGTGGTCATAGTGAGGTATTTCGCACTTGTTATCTCGAAAGAAGAAATGAAACATCTTATTTATTGTGGAAAAGTCTTTCGGGAAAAATTACAGTTTTCAAACTATCTCATATTTTTTTAAGTTTTTAGTAAAGGATTTGGGTTTTCACTGATATACTTGAAAAGTGGAACTATTTTTCGGAAAATTATGAAAAGGCTCAGCATGTTATCTCTGAGCTACTTCTTTATTTACTTGCATTACATTGTTATGAACTGTTGTTAGTTATTGGTGTTGGACCCGACCTATGTTCTAGCTCGTCACTACTTTCAACATAAGGTTAGGTTTGTTACTTATTGAGTACATGGGGTCGGTTGTACTCATACATTGCATTTGACATGCGTACTTGAGATACATGCATAAAGATGCATTTCTTTGTACTACTCCGGTTTTGGTGACATTCACGATTTCACCTGCATATTGACATGTAGGCATAGAGATGTATCTTCCTCATGCCATCTGGAATTGAAACATCTTATTTAGTGTTGAAAGGTTTTTGAGAAAAATCACAGTTTTAAAACTTACTCATATTTTTAACGATTTCGGTAAAAGATTTGGGTTTTCACCAATGTACTTGAAAGGCAGGCCTATTTTTCTAGAACTGTGAACATTCTGAGAATTTTATCTCTGAGTTAATTCTTTTATTACTTTCATTATGTTGTTATGAACTGTTGTTGGCTATTGGTATTGGACTCGACCTATGTTCCAGCTCGTTACTACTTTCAACCTAAGGTTATGTTTGTTACTTATTGAGTACATGGGGTCAGTTGAACTCATACTACAGTTCTACACCTTGTGTGCAGATGTTGGCTACTGACATTGATGTGATCGACGGGAGCTGGATTTGAAGATGCACCTGCATTCCGGTTATAGCTGCCTCTTGTTCATGGTAGCTCTAGACTTATGAAAAAAATATTTACGTATTATTCAGACAGATGATGTATTTTTATTTCAAACTAGCATTGTAAATTCTAATCTGAGAAGCTCATGATTTGTACTACCAGTCCTTGGGAAATGTATAAGATTCAGATATTTTCTTTTACTTATTTGTCTTATTAAATTTCAATAGAATTGGATAGTTGTTAATTGGCTTACCTAGCAGGTTGGGTTAGGTGCCATCACGACTAGTTGGATTTTGGGTCGTGACAGAAAGGGTGAGATGAAGAGTTGCAATCCAAGAGGTGCCTCTTCCATTTCCATTCACACCTTTTAGGAAAACCCAACAAGTTATAGTAATAGTTTTACCCAATTTAACAGGTAGTTTGACCAAACTTCGTAAATTTATTTATTTTGAAAAGATCTTTTTGTCAAAAGTATATTCAGAAAAAAGTACTTCTACAGGGTAACAATTTATGTTTGGCTATTTTATTTAATTTAATTTTTTAAAAATCTCAATATTAGAGCATCATTTTATGCTCGACCTAGGTTTCAGAAGTGCTTATAGGGAAATTATTTTATCATCTTCTGATAAACAGCTTATGCTAATACTTAAAAGCAATTTTTCATAAAAGCTTGACCAAACACTCTCTAAAATAGGATAATTTTAAAAGAACACCACCATATTTGTAACGATTCGACTGGTCGTTTTGAGCTCTAGCATGTCATTTGGCGGTTTGAGGCCATGGGTAGCTTCAGTTCGGGTATTATGACTTGTACGTGTGTTCGGAATTGAAGTTTGGGAAGTTCAGTGGAAAGAAAATTCTAATTTCAGAAGCCTTAAGTTGGAAGATTTGACTAAGGTTTGACTTTGGAGTAAACGAACTCGGAATCTGGATTTGACGGTTCCAATAGGTTCGTATGGTGATTTTGGACTTGGACGTATGCCCGGATTGGGTTTTGGATGACCCAAGAGCGTTTCGGCACCTATTGTGGAAGGTTGGCATTTTGGAAGAATTTCATAAATTTGGGTTGAAGTGCATTCATTGTTATCGATGTCCGTTTTGGATTCTAATTATGGGAATAGCTTTGTATGGTGATTCTGGTCTTAGGAGCGCGTCCGAAAGTGGATTTGGAGGTCCGTAGGTCATTTCAGGGTCATTTGGCGAAAGATGGAAATTTGAAAGTTTTTGGAAAGTTTGACCTGGGGTGGACTTTTTGATATTGGGGCCGGGTTCTGATTCCGGATGTTTTAGTAGGTCCGTAATGTCGAATGTGACTTGTGTGCAAAATTTGAGGTCAATCGGACGTGATTTGATAGGTTTTGGCATCGAATGTAGAAGTTTGAAGTTGTAAAGTTCATTAAGCTAGAATTAGGGTGCGATTCATGATATCGACATTGTTTGATGTGGTTTGAGGCCTCGAGAAGGTCTGTGTTATGTATTGGAACTGGTTGGTGTGATTTGGACGGGGTCCCGGGGCCTCGGGTTGGTTTCGGGTCATTTCCCCATGATTTGCTGCTGCTGGTTGCTGGTTCTGGTTTTGTCCTTCGCGAACGCGAAAGGAGTCCCGCGTTCGCAAAGACGAAGTTTGGGGCTGCTAAAATTTGGTCTTTGCGAACGCGAGGCAGAAGCTGGGTAAGCCTTCGCGAACGCGACACAGGGGTCGCGAACGCGAAGAAGGAAGAGGACTAGGGGACCTGGAGCCATTTAGCCTTCACGAACGCGGAGCTCCAACCGCGAACGCGAAGCAGTAGGGCCTGAAGCCTTTGCGAACGCGAGGTCTCTATCGCGAACATGAAGAAGGAGGAGACTGTGCTGGGCAGAATGTTTTAAAAGCGGGATTTAGCCCATTTCTCTCATTTCTCTGTTGGTTTTGGCGATTTTGGAGAGGCTTTAAGGGGAGATTTTCATTATCTATGCCAAGGTAAGTGATTCCCATCTATTGCAAGTTAAATACTTGGATTAAACATAGATTTTAACGTGGAAATTCATGGAAATTTGGAGTTTTGGTAGAAAACCTAGAAATTTGTATTTTTGTATTTTGACCACGAAATTGGACATGGAATTTGGAATAAATTATATATTTGAGTTTGTGAAGCTATGTTAAATGTTTATCTTTGAATTTTTTTGGAATACGGGCACGTGTTCCCGAGGGCGATTTTTATCGACTTTTCGAGCGGAGTTGAAAATTATTGTAAATTGGATTATAATGAGTATTAGAGTATATATTTATGGATTTGCACATTTATTGACTAGTTTTGGAGCGTTAGGCATCAGTTTGAGTTGTTGTAAAGACTTGGGAGCCGGTTATAGAATTCCGGAAGCGAGGTAAGTCTCTTTTCTAACCTTGTAAGAGGGAATTAACCCCATAGGTGAATTGATTTAATATGTGATTCTATTTGTGGGGGCTACGTACGCACGAGGTGACGAGAGTCCGTACGAAGCTACTAATTGTACTTATGTCCGGGTAGTTTAGGACCCAAATCATGTTATACTTGTGATGTTTGCATCCTACTTGTTAATTTAACCGCTTAAATATATTGGAACTTGATAAAGGAATTGTAAAAGGTTAACCCTCATCTACCTGAGTTTTGGATGGGTCATTTGACCGTTAATGAGAATTGATATTTCTTTGAACATTAACCCTTAATGAATCTTGAATTGGTTGTTTTAATGTATTTTCTCTTCCTGTGGAGCGGGCCGAACGCCTCAGTAGCTGATAGATGCATCTATGCTTCGTGTCGTTCGATCCTCGACAGTTCACAGTTTAAATATTTTATGTTGGATCGGGCCGTACGACCTCGGCATGATTTGCGCATGATAAATCTTTGGAACTAATATAATTGATATTGCTTCATTGACTTGAGATATAATTGTTAAATATCGACAGTAAAATTTGAAATTTTCTATTAATAAAAAAATTATTTACTTACTTCTTGTTATTGAGTTTTCAGCTGTTATTACAACCCATGCTTAATTATAATATCGGTATTTGCTTGTTAGCCCATAATAAGTGTCGGAGTCGACCCCTCGTCAGTACTTCTTCGAGGTTAGACTAGATACTTACTGGGTACGCGTTGATTTACGTACTCATACTACACTTGCTGCACATTTACATATATGTCTAGTGGCCTTGTGGGTGCAGAGGCACGGTTATTTGCGGGGACTTAGGTGAGCTGCATTCCTTGTTACGAGCCTGCAGCACATAGAGTCTCCATCAGAGTTATTTACACTCTCCTGTCCAATTGTATTCCAGACAGATGTTGTATTTTACTATATTACCTAGTTAATGCTCATGCACTTGTGACACTGAGTTTTGGGGGTGCTTACAGGCTATTCATTAATGTAGTTGCGAAAGTATTTTTTATTCACATTTTAAATCCCATTTTTTACTAAGTGATTAAAGAAAATTATGATTTCAAATAATAATATGAGTAACTAAGATAATCATTTATTGTTGGCTTGCCTGACAATGGTGCTAGGTGCATTCACGATCTTTAATGGATTTTGGATCGTGACAATATTCATTTAAGTTGTTTAGCAAAGTAAATCCATTTAGATTACAATTTTTTTTACTTTACACATGATGTCATTATTTTTTATGTATTCATTATTTTTAAAATATTTATTTTTCTTACCTGCCATTAATTGACGTATTCAAACTTGTCCCAAAAGGTAAAAGATGTACTATAAACATGTTTGTTATGATGTAAGTAAGAGCTAGGAGAAAAATGGTTTCATGGACTTACGGAAACTTTGTCACACTCATGTGTTGAAAAAAAGTCTTATATTAATGATAGCTAAACTTTTTCTTTGATGTAAATGTGTCACGACCCGGATTTCCCCATCCTTAAGGATCGTGATGGCGCCTACTCTTAGAAGCTAGGCAAGCCACAAATCATAAACTCCTACCTACTTTATTTTAAATCCTTTTATCAATCATAACAACAAGCGTTAAATATTTAAATGACAGCGGAATATGAAATTGAAGCGGAAGACAAAAGTTAAATAAGCTGAATAACAATGCGGAATTCAACATGTGCCTCTACCCAAGAACTGGTGTCACAACATCCACGGACTACTAAGAGTTACTACATACAACCGTTTGAAAGATAGTAACATTTTCTGTCTTGAATACAAGAGATAACAGAACATAAATAAAGATAGAGGAGACACCGGGCCTGCGGACGCCTGCAAGGCTACCTCGGTGTCTCGGAGGACTGAAGCCTGGCTCCTGAGTTACTACTGCTGTCCGGTACCTAGATCTGTGCAAAAGAGCACAGAGTGTAGTATCAGCACAACCGAACCCATGTGGTAAGTGCCTAGCCTAACCTCGGCGAAGTAGTGACGAGGCTAGACAGGACTACCACATAAACCTGTACAGTTACATATATATATCTACAACGGGAAAATAACAAGAACAAACATTTTTAAATGGGAGGGAAACATGCTTCGGGGATAGCAGATAATACAGAATTTCAAGAAAATATTAAAGAACATCAATAATTTAACTCTAACACGGATAAGGGAAATAAAAGCAGATTTCACTGTCAGTACATATCTCGTTGCAAGCGTGCAACCCGATCCCATTTTATTGAATCTCGTGGTAGGCGTACCACCCGTTCCCATTTTATTAAGTCAACAGTTCTTCCAAATGAAATTTACTCCAACAAAAGCAATAATTTATACGAATTCATAAGACAACAAGTACACAATAATTATGACTCACTGAGAAAAATAAGTAATGACAAGTAGCAATTAAATTATGGACTTTAACGAGCAAATAGGCAATTTAATATTTAGTATTCTAAATGTCAAGTAGCAATTAAGTGCACGGCATCACCCTTCGTGCTTTTACTCTCGTCCTCACCAAGCAATAATATAATAAAATGTGCACGGCATCACCCTTCATGCTTTTACTCTCTTTCCTCACATATAATCAATAAAATTGGCACGGAATGGTACATCGTGAGGCACGGCATCACCCTTCGCGCTTTACTCTCTTTCCTCACAATAATCAAACAATGCACGGCATCACCCTTCGTGCTTTACACTCTTTCCTCACTATAGAGAAACAATGCATGGCATCACCCTTCGTGCTTTAGCACTCTTCCTCACCCAAACAACAATCACAAACAAGGGGCAAGGGAATAAACAAAATAATAACGGAGATCCCGGCAAGGGAACACAATTAAACAATTAAATCCCGGCAAGGGTACAACATCAATAATCTTAACGTCCCGGCAAGGGTACAACATCAATAATCTTAACGTCCCGGCAAGGGTACAACATCAATAATCTTAACGTCCCGGCAAGGGAGAATAATCAATAAACAACAATATCCGGGCAAGGGAACAATTTAAATAATCTTTCTCTTCCTTTCACTTTCATTTCATATCTCACTTTACCATTTGAGCCAATGCTCCAAAGGGTCCCACCATTTCATATACGTTCACAATTGTAATATAACTTGAGCCAATGCTCCTCGTTGTTAATAGGTTACAATTCCTCTAACAAGCTTTTCACAACAATTAGGAATCATCACCAAGGCAAGAGAAATACAACGAAATCAAGATATTCACAATTTAAAGACTCACGGTCATGCTAGACACCAACGTATAGATACTCGTCACCATGCCTATACGTCGTACTCAACAAGAAGCAATTAGCAAATAAGACTCAACTTCTAGTCCCTCAAGCTAGGGTTAGACCAAACACTTACCTCGATGCCTTGAACACAACTCAAGTCTCAATTATAGCTTTACCCCTTGATTCCGCCACCAATTCGCTCGTATCTAATCACAAATTACTTAATTACAATAATAAACACTAAATGAATCAATTTGAATGCATAAAAATAAATTTTCCAAAGTTTTTCCCAAAAATTCCAAAATCGCCCCCGGGCCCACGTGGTCAAAACCCGAGGTTCGAACGAAAACCCGGCTACCCATTCCCCCACGAACCCAAATATATAATTTGTTTTGAAATCGGACCTCAAATTGATGTCCAAATCCCCAATTTTAGAAAAAACCTAGGTTCTACCCAAAACCCCCAATTTCTCCCATGAAAATCTTTGATTTCAAGTTTAAAACATGTTAAATGATGTTAATGATTGAAAGAAATGAGTAAAAATCAACTTACAAATGATTTGGAAGAAGGTTGGTTCTTGAAAAATCGCCCAAAGGAGTTGTGTTTTGAAAATGGGGTGAAAAATGTCTTAAAATCGACTAAGTATGAAAAATGCAGGTTGCAGATGTGGGAAATGCGAACTGGGGTTCGCAATTGCGAACCCCGTCCTGTTATGGGAATTGCGAAGATTGGTTCGCATTTGCGAACACTGGACAACAATGAAGGCATCGCATTTGCGACAATGTTGTCGCATTTGCGAAATGCCTGCCTTCGCATTTGCGAGCCACTATGTCGCATTTGCGACTGGCTCAACATCGCATTTGCGAACCATGTGGTCGAATTTGCGACCCAACTACAGGATCTCCTATCTCGCATTTGCGATCATAGGCTCGCATTTGCGAGATCTTCTTCGCAAATGCGAAGATACCAGAACTGAAATGCCAGATTTTCACAAAGGTTCAAAATGCACTCACGACCTATCCAAAAATCACCCGAGCCCTCGGGGC